CATGTTGCCATGCGAGAGTGCTCAAATCACAACTAAGGTGATGAGCTTCGCCCGAAGGCTAAGTGCATGGCAACCCCAGTGTAGAGTGCTCAATCGCAAGGTAGCCAAAAGGCAAAGCCAAGCGAGAGCTATCTAACTGCAGACAGTGCACACTGTTTCGACCTATGTGGGTCTCATCAGTGCAGTGCAGACACTGGGCCAAGCTCTGGAATAAACCATTGCCTGGGCGCTACACTTGTGGGACCAAGTGCAGACATGTTGCCATGCGAGAGTGCTCAAATCACAACTAAGGTGATGAGCTTCGCCCGAAGGCTAAGTGCATGGCAACCCCAGTGTAGAGTGCTCAATCGCAAGGTAGCCAAAAGGCAAAGCCAAGCGAGAGCTATCTAACTGCAGACAGTGCACACTGTTTCGACCTATGTGGGTCTCATCAGTGCAGTGCAGACACTGGGCCAAGCTCTGGAATAAACCATTGCCTGGGCGCTACACTTGTGGGACCAAGTGCAGGCATGTTGCCATGCGAGAGTGCTCAAATCACAACTAAGGTGATGAGCTTCGCCCGAAGGCTAAGTGCATGGCAACCCCAGTGTAGAGTGCTCAATCGCAAGGTAGCCAAAAGGCAAAGCCAAGCGAGAGCTATCTAACTGCAGACAGTGCACACTGTTTCGACCTATGTGGGTCTCATCAGTGCAGTGCAGACACTGGGCCAAGCTCTGGAATAAACCATTGCCTGGGCGCTACACTTGTGGGACCAAGTGCAGGCATGTTGCCATGCGAGAGTGCTCAAATCACAACTAAGGTGATGAGCTTCGCCCGAAGGCTAAGTGCATGGCAACCCCAGTGTAGAGTGCTCAATCGCAAGGTAGCCAAAAGGCAAAGCCAAGCGAGAGCTATCTAACTATACATACATGATATATATACTATATATATATATATATATTAATTATACTTCAAGATCTCGGCTGCTTGAACTTTTACTGCTACTCTGAGTTTCATGCCTCTTGCGAAGCAATCGTCAGGCAACTGACAGAAAAACAAAAAAACAAAAAAAAGAATAGTCCGCCCTCTAAAGATCTGCTAACCACCTTGAGATTTACTAAAGTTCAGAAAACAACTCTCATGCTGAATTAATCACAGCTTTCCAGAGATGTAACAATTGTGAGTGGTCTTTATTTTATAGGTATTTCACTTGGAATCTGTTTAACAATTTGTATCACTCATTCAGGCCTTGCATAGCTCTATTGGGCAGAAAGGTTACCTTTCCACCTCCCCCTCAAGTCAGTACCTTCATTTGAGCTCTTATGGGGATATGATGTTGATATAAAAGTAAATAAAGGCTAAATGTCAGATCTTTGATCGATAATATCAAATACAGAAGATATTTTATACCTTAACTTGTCCACCTTCTGTGTAGTTTCTCCAAGTTGTCCCATCTGTGGATAATTGTAGTGCATAGTTTTTCACCCACTGATCTCCTTGAGAATTTCCTTGAGTTGACACAGCACAGATGATGTGAAATGTCTGTAGATCAATCTGTAGATATGGGTTAGTGTCACTCGTTCCTGCACACCATGATGATCCTGATAAGTAGTTCTGTCGACCATTCTTGGCTGGTGTGCTGGCATTCAGTTCAGAAGAAGCACTTATTTTATCATCTGGAACTCCTCCATTTTCCATTCCAAGGTAGAACTCAACACAGCCTCCTATCCATTGAAAAATGTTAAAATCATCAAACATGACAAGCTAACAATATCATACATGTGCATTGTACTCATGGGTGGTGTAACGGGGTTAAAGTTTGAACAACAGCATTCAGGAATTTCATCCCCTACAACCTATCTAAAACTGAGCTAATTAGTGACCAATCAAAAAAGTTAGCAACTGCAAATAAGCAGACTCCTCCAGTCAATGTCCATTGTCACAAGTGCAGGCTTATGCCAAACTTTGCCACTTTGTTACAGCCAGCACTTTTGAGCTCTCCTGAAATTCAGGAGAGGCCACTCCTTTGTGGTCTTATGGTTATGTTTTTTTTTTCCAAGTGTTCCTGTGCTGTTTTGTTGCAGTTGTCTTTTGGGATTTACCTACGCAGTGTTGTGGAAATCACCTTTCATCTGCAGTTTTGGAGAAGCAATATCCCTTAGTCCCCTCGCATTTTGCAGGGATTTCCTTCAGGCCTTTATCAAAGGCATGAAAATTGGGTCTACAAACCTTCTTGAGCAATTTTGCAACAGTTGCCTTCAATGGATTACTAAATTAGTTCGAGTTCTCTTCAAATTTCATAGTTGGTCATGGAGTGGTTGCCTTCAAGCATAAGAGCCTTGAGACCCTGGAAAGTTTACAGTAATGACTTCATCCAGCCACAAGCCCTTATGTCGGACTGGGTCCCATTATCAGTTTGGAAAATTCCTTATTGTGGAATCAATCCCCCTGGCTAAGTTTAAGGAATTGGGTAGCTATGGGAATGGTACTCTATCTGGGGACTTTCTAACCATCATGATAGCCTCAGGATACCCAGGGGCACCTATCCTTCACTTGAGTGAAGCATTCATTAAAAATAGACATGTCTCATTTACAAATGAGATGAGATGCAATTACCCTGAATGCTGTACCACACACCCCACTTAAACTTTTAATGATAGCTAGGTTACAATGAATCTTTGTGAGTGTCATTAAGTTCCCCTTATATCAATAAATGTAAAGTTTGTGAGGTCCACTTGTTAAAGAAAAATTTACGTATGGTGCACGATCCTCGCAGTAGAGAGAAAAATTTGCTCAATTTCAGTTGTAAGGAGTAAATCATTAAAATCATGTGAGGCTTTTGGTTGCTTTTAATATTTTTCCTTAAATTTGTCAAAACATAGGAATACCTGTAAACTAGCTCTTAAGCTAAGCATAATTCCACGCTAAATAAAGTAAATATGTATGTATGTATGTATGGATTAAACTGCTAAAGAAAATTAACCAATATCTGAGACATTAAGGGCGACTGTATAAGATCCCTCGTGTGCACTACATTTGTGGTTATTTGTCCCCAATCTAAACAGGCAATCCATTAATTGTTTAATTGCAAAATCATCAATGTTTTGAGGGGGGAGAGATAACCCTTGAATAAGGGAGACCCGAAAAGGAAGAATGGCAGATTGACAGAATGGTGGAAAAATTACCCCAAGTCCATAAAGATGGAAAGGAGGAAAAATTAATATTACCTCAGATCCTAAAAGAAGGAGCACTGGAAAATTTACCTCAAATCCTAAATGAGGGAATGGCACTGTACACACATCCTGCTCAATACTGTATTAATTTTTCCTTTGCTACATCATAGCAGTGTTTTGGTCATGTACATAAGTAAGTGCAGAGATCTTTTGTCAGCTTTTTTCCCTTAATGAGTATACCTTCCTTGAAAGTTAAATCAAAACTCAAACAATCATCTTTGCTTGTACTGTGTGACATCATGTTGTTGACTTTTCAGTTTGTTTGAGATGATTTTCTGTGATTGTTGAGGTGTTAATTTGGTTGACAGGCTGAAACAACTCTTGCTGTTCTTGTGGTTAGGTTATTTTCAAAGAAGCTGACTTTTGGACCTAATCCCTCTAATTAGCATTTCTTTACATAATTTTCCCTCCTTTTTCATGAAACTATTGGAAGCTCTTTATAAATCTCCTGAAGCTAAGGCTGCTCCACAATAATTTGCCAGTTGTTCAATTAAATCTTTTCAATGCTGGTACGTCACTGATAGGTTATATCATGCAATTAAAGGTAATAATTTTTTATGTTATTCACATTATTTTTCTCCTGAAGTGCTGCTGTCCTGTTAGTGAAATCAACCTGTGCAAGCATTCTTTCAGCTACACAATTTGGATAATGCGCTTTGCAGTGGCTCAGATGTTATCTTCAAAGCTCGTTTTTGACATTGAAGTTTTTCCCATGTAAAAGGCTAGGTACATCCACTGAGATTAAATTCATACTTATAGTAGGACTTCAGTCCTCACTCTGAATTTATCTGCCAGTGAATCTTTATAGTCTACAAAAGATGACATTCCTGCTGCCTCACTGAAAAAATGAGTTTTTGTTTTTTAGGATTCTGGCTAATTTTCTACCATTCCATCATTAGGCCATTCCGGCCTTTAGGGTCATCCCTTGAATAAAGGGAAAGTAATTTTTAAACTTGCATATGTTGACAAACATTCTGAACCTTTTGGCACATATGCCCAAAAAAGACCCATCCAGATTACATGGAAGTATGAAAATGGATGACCTTTAAATTATACAATTAAGTTCTTAAGTTCTATGACACTCCTTCCTCAATATCACTGTTGCTATTGCCAAACTAAATGAAAGAGAGTCACACACTTTTTTTAAAAATCTTACCATCTTTCATAGTTCTCACCACTTCAACAGAACTTTTTGGTCCATCACCAACTGAAGTGAAGGCTAACACTTGAAATTCATATTCTGTGTTGTTATCAAGTCCGGGGACATCTTTACCCAATGCTGTTCCATTGTTAAAAGTCAAGTTGGTTGCTGATCCTCCAAAGCCATTCTTTTTGTAGAACAATTTAAATCCTTTAATCACTCCATTTCTGGAATCTTCTGGTGGTAACTGCCAGGTTGCTGTGACAGTTGTCGAAGTAACTGCAGTTACAGTGAAGCTACCAGGGGATTGTGATGGAACTGCAATTGAAAAAAAAAAACAGTAATGTGTAATGCACACAGGTAACTGGTCCTTTTCATAATATAATCATTATGTTGCAAGTAAAATACTATTTTTCAAGTGCCTATTTAGCCACTGAAAGGACAACCAGTATCCTGGGGCAGAAGATAGCACTAATTTCCTTTCTATGGTTTGTACAATTTGCTTCAGAGGAATGCCTAAAGCACGAAAACTCAAAATAAGATTCTTAAGCATCCATGATTATGCTTTTCAGCTACTGGATGGCAATCAAGACCTCCAGAGTAGTAAGTCTACAATGTAGATGGAGGAAAAGTTTCAGTTAACTCCTTGTGAAGGCTTCTTCAAAGAAGCCATTATTTTTCCTCTTTCACTTTGATCTATCACATACCATCTTCCTTTGTTCGCTCCACCTCACTGTGGCTCTTTGGTCCATTGCCAACTGATGTAAATGCCAAGACCTGAAATTCATACTCTGTGTATTTTTTAAGCCCAGTGACATTTCTGCTCAATGTTAATCCACTGTTAATAAGCAAGGTGGTTGTTAACCCTGCTGACCCTTTCTCTTTAAAAAACAATTTAAACCCTTTAATAATTCCATTTCTTGAAGCTAATGGTGGTAATTGCCAGGAAGCTGTAATAGCTGAAGAAGTGACAGCAGTCACAGTCAAGCTGCTTGGGGGTTGTGATGGAGCTGCAATTGAAAAACATATAATTATTAAATGACTAGTAGGTAACTGTTCCTTTTCTGGGGAACAATCCTTATGTCTGTTGCAAGTAAGATATTACTTCCCAAGTGTCTCCTTTGCTACTGAAAAGAAAACCAATGCCCTGAGAAGAAGCCATGACCATCACCTATATCATCCAGTCAAAATCCCTAATTCCCATTCTAAGGTTAGTACCTGTGTCACCTCTTAGTCATTGGTCCAAAGGAATTCCTAGTACTGCACAGAAGCTCTGAATGGTATTTTAAGAATCTATGGTTGTGCTTTTTAACTAATAAAAGGCAATTAAGGCCAAGCAAATTTACAACCTGTGGAGGGAAAATGTCAGTTGACTTTAACAGGTTTTAAAATAAGGAATCCATGCTGGTGCTTTTTTAACTATTCTATGGTAATACAGGCCCAGCAAGTTTAGAATGGCAGTTAACTTCTACAGGTTCTTAATATGAGCCATCAATTCTTCTCTTTCATCTCCAACTATCACATACCATCTTCCTTTGTTCTCTCCACCTCAACAGGGCTTTTTGCTCCAACACTGTAAGACGTAAAAGCCAAAACTTGTAATTCATATTCAGTGTACTCGTCAAGCTCAGTGACAAGTCTACTTAATATCGATCCACTGTTTATAGTGAAGGAGGAAGCAGATCCTGTTGAACCTTTCTTTTTGTGGAACAATTTAAACCCTGTAATGTTTCTTCCATGTCTTGCAAATAATGGCGGTAACTTCCAGGAAGCTGTAATACTGGTAGAAGAACTTGCATTCAACTTGAAGTCAGTGGGAGGTTGTGATGGAACTGAAATAAACAAGAAGAGATGTACAATAAATGATTGCATGCTTAGCAGTAATAAGTAATAAGCATTACAAATTTACAAAGGAGTATGGAGCAAAGTCAGTAGTGTTGATTGTACATGCGTGTACACATTAAATCAGTATTACTCCTACATTTAGTGTGTAAATGCTGTGCATGACATATGAGCTTAACAATCTACTAAGTTCCAGGATCAGCAAAGCCATCTCATACATTTTGTTTTTATATTTACCACCAACTGCAACTTTGTTGTCTGCATTATTTGACCTGGTTTTAATTTTGCAGCTTTTAAAGAAGCCCACATGTATGTAGAGAAATACCTGGAAACACATAGTCAAGTACCTGTGATCATTGTAATGTTCACGCTCTAGCATCTATAATGATGATTGATCCATAACCACTGCTACATTTCACAGTTTTATCTCAGATATATGGATGGCACAATTCATCAAATTTTCTGGTCGGCTCCAAAAATTATATGAAAAACAATTCGCATCCCATCAAGCTTCAGCAAAAGTTAGAAATTATTCAACCTGCACTTACCCAATCTTGCCCTCCAAAAATAATTGGTTTCTGTGACTTCATGTTTACCTCAGGGAGTCAAAAATGAGAAAAAATAAATACCTGTAGTAGTAAGAAGTATCCCATAGACTTCCACTCTCAGAACTGGCCAATTATGATACTTTATTGGTTGAAACCGGATTATCTTTGCTCTTGCAAATTCCTGTAGACTGTTTTTCACAACACCATTTTTATTTGAGTTTCCAGGAAAAAGCTGTAGTTTGTGGTGTAAAAAA